CGGGGGCAGGAGGGGGAGCCGCTGCGTCGGGGGAGCTGCGAGGTGTGGGTCGGGTTCGGGCGGCCCGGTGCCAGGGAGTCGTCCCCCTTCCTCTGACCTTTAAGGTCAGGGGAAGGGTTTTTCGGCAGTTAACGGTGGAACTAACTTTGCGGTCTAATCGGTCCTCATTCAAAACGCTGCCTTAAATGTGCCTTCAAGCAATGGTGAAAGCTTCATTAGAAATGCAAGCCGAACTACCGAAATTAACCCTGTTGCTTTTGGAGTGATATAAAATCGTTGGGCTCCAGTTCAGGTGTTTCAAAACGCTGGGATTTTGGAAGGCAGTGATTAGCCCTGCCGCCCGGCGCGCGCCTGTCCCAGGCACTTGCGAACCCCACCGCGCGACCTCTAACAGCTCTTTGGCGATAGGCAACTCGCGTGCACTTACGCTGCGTGGGTGCCTGTGGCACTTGCGTTGCTGAGCGGCTGGCTTTGAAGGTTTTCCAGCTTCTGCCTGGGGTGGAACATGCTGGAGCACCGTACAGAGGATGTGCAACGTCCCTGTTGCAAAACCTGTCAGGAGGCAGAAGCGGTTCTCTGTGCGATGGTGATACGAGGGCAGCGGGTGGTTGGGTGACTTCAAGCACGGGATAAACTCCTGCATGCTTACAGGTAAACGTATTTCAACAGGTGTACTTCAATAAGAATAAAGAATGTTAGCGAGTAGCAATAATGTAACCTGCTCTGAATATGTGAAATATTTAGAATTACGAAGACTTTGCTTCCTAGAAAATTTTGCAACACATGAAGATTCCGATCACTCGAGTAGAGCCAACAGAATGTACCGGTTTGTACCAGTTGCTAACTGGCCTATTGTCTTTATGGTAAAATGTGAAATATTCCTATGTGTACACGCTTTGCTTCTACTGGAACTGTTGAATTAAATGGGATAAATTTGTTTTACTGTCTTTATATTTGAGTTACTTTCTTCAGTGAGTTCTGATATTGATGACTTTTTTTCCTGAGTACTTGTGCTTGCTCCACATAATTCATTTTCATTAGGAAAGTTGATCTGCTAGTCGTTATTTAATTATGAAGTATACTAATGAGGATGACTGATAAGATTTGAGTTCTTGCAATATCACAGCCTCTTCTACTGCGCTCATATCGATTAGCTAACCTAGTTTTCAAATGCTTGAGGGAGGCTTTCAGTCATCACTTCAGGTAATGCTCACTTGGGAATATTAGGGAATCCGTGACAGTCATGGAAGATCCCAAGTGCTCTCGTTTCCCAGAGGAATCAATGGTATTGAGATTCTCAGATGCTCAGTTGAGTACATGATCCTCAGTACATAGCTTCCAGAAAGCGGCACACAGTGAAAAATCACAGATGCTCTAAAAATAGCATCTTTGTCACTTCATGCAGAGGTTGTGTACTTGATGTATGTGAAAAGGGCTCAGACAAATCCCAAATATTATTGGAGTTAAACCAGAAGTGACCTTCTCCTAAACTACCCCTGAGCAAACCTCCTACTGAGCAGAATCGAATAAGCTCAATTACTAAAAAATAAACATGTTTGAAACCCTTCATATATCATTCCACAAACATAATTGCTTTTCCAGATTGCTTCTGTGTAGTCTAATAAATGATGAGAAAAGACCACAGAGACTTTTTAGCATGTCCAGTAAGTAGTTTAGGTGCGGCTAGTTTAACCTATTTAAAGGGTGGCTTTTGGTAAGAGGATGCATTTTAACTAGCCCTCTCTCTAATTCAGTGCATTCTTGTACCTTTAAAAAAAATCTCAGTAGATCCAGTGGGAGCTGACTTGGGAGCTGCGGGCTCTCTTTTCAGTGGATATTTCAGAGTCAACTGGGATCGGGTAAAAAAGTGAACCAATTTGACATGAACCACGTGGATGCGTAGAGTTGTATGTGATGCAAATACCTCATCAGTGGTACCCATACACTCAGTGATACCCATTTTAAAGAAAATAATTTTATGTAATCCAGTTTGAAAAGGAATCAGGCTGAAGCTTGCTAATTTTCTGCTGGGTCACAGAGCACTTGATGAAATCTTGTAAAATTTTCTAGAATTGCAGGGAGACTCTTTGCTAAAGTCCATTGATGCAGGTCCACAGACATTATGCAAGTGGGATAACCTACCTGTAAGCAAAAAAATAAGAATACAGATTTAACTTGGCTGTCATCAAGTGTTGTGAGACCTGTTGAAAAAGTTCTTCTATTCTCAGGTTATTTTCCCTTTGTGCTGCTTTACAATTTACCAAAGAAAATAATTAATCCATGTGGAATAGTTGTATATGATTCTTAATTTCTATCTTTACTTTTAGTTACTTTCCTCGGGAAAAATGACATTACATGACAACATTAATTGTGGTACACCGGAGAACACAAACTTTATGTTTTAAATGTAATGGTTCATACAAAAATACAGACCATTAAATCGCCATAAATTGACTGGTACAGGTTAGGATAGCATCACTGCAATTTTGCAGCAATATTCAGGTTAGAATAGCATCACCACAAGCTTTGCAGTAATTCAGACCATCTCCATTTGCTTCATGTTTATTCCTAATGATAGCATTGCCCTAATAATATCATTGTATTTGTATCCCAAATGTTCATATACTGTTCTTTATGCTTTTTTAATGGACTGGCCTCTTACACAATCATCTCTAACAGCAGCGTTTGACCTGTGATACTGGTTTCAAGTAAATACATTACCTTTTAAATTAAGACTGGATGAGTTCCATTCAGCTGTTTTCTAATAAAAAATTCTCTTTGCCTAAAAAGACTTAATTTTAGGAAATGCCCATTTGCATCTGAAATGATGCTGTTCTTTATCCGTTTCTAGCTAAACAGATCGAGTTCTGGGAAAAATGAGGAAAAGAAAGGGAATAAGGGAAATGGGAAAAGTGAATCTGTTTCTGAAGGTGGAAAGACAGCTGTGGTGTTTTCCTTGAAGAATGAAGTTGGTGGATTGGTGAAAGCTCTCCGACTCTTCCAGGTAAAGCTTACAAATCATTATGCTGACCGGACTGAGGAAGGCTACCAAGGTCAGGTAGTTTGTTGGTATAAATCTTGTGGACCACGGTGGAAGGAACAGGGTGCAGTTACATTCTGCAGAATTGAATAAAAGTAACTTAAAATTTTATCGGCCATTCAACAAAAACATTTTGGGCTTATGAAGGGTTTTCTGGAATGAAGTTTAACAGTGATACTCATTTTCACACCATTCACTTTAGATTTCTGACATGTGATTGTCAACCCTGTAAATTAGATTTGAAGTTGTTTGTGCAAGCTACAATGAAAGGAGGCACTTTCAGAGAGCAGTTCAGAATCTAAATGACATACAGTCAGATGGTGGTGCCAGCCTTGCTGCAGGACAATGTTTGGTCATGAAGTTAAATGCACCTTTAAGTGCTTGCAGAGTCGGGGCCTTACATGTCTAACTAGAACGTAAATTGTGAAGTGTTGGTTCCCATATAGATCCCCATGCAGTTGGTGATTTTCGGTCAGACTGCTGGTACTGCACGTAGTCTGCTGGCCTTATGAATACATTGAGAGGGCGTGGAGGCATGTCTGAAGATACTTAAAGCAAAGCAGTATAATGAAGTCTTAGGCTGTTCAGTCTGTGCAGTGCAGTGAAGAGAAAGTTAGGAGGTGGCTTGGAGCCTACCTCTAAGGGCAAAACCATCAGAGGCATGTTAAGTGTGGGAGCACTGCGCAATACCAATCCTGACTCACAGGGGCTGGCTCTGGGAGCAGATTCCCAAGGCTGATGTAGATACCAAGATGCCCCAGTCAAGGAACAAGGGGTGAGTTAGACCCCCAGGAGGGAGGCTGCCAGAAACCAAGGTGTTAGATGGAAAGAGAGGAAGCCTAAGGGAGCTGATAGGAGTTGCAGAAGGAGGCGTGTTTTCAGTGCAACTTCTCTCCAAGGGTGAAGTGTCTAACTGCAGCTCTGGCTTAAATGCTTGAATAGATCCATACCTGAAATCCTGGATTTACACACCAACTGCCCCCCTTCCTGGGAATGGCATATAATTCACTCTGGTCTCTTAAAACATGGCTGGAAGATGTTGCAGAGATATCACCCCCATTCGCATAGTCACTTAACAATTTGAGTACTGTGAGGGGGAGCACAGGGTTTTGTTCTCTACTCCACCTAAGGTAGGTCAGAGTGAGTTTGTTACATGAATGGGTTAACTAAGGAGATGCACCATATACATACCTTATGGAGCATGCCAGCGAAAGAATTATGTATGTATATCCAGAAATATTTTCTTCCTCACGTGTTCATAAGAGATAATGAAGTAGTACATGTTTAATAGCATCTATTTAAAGAAACACACTCAAATCTATTTAAATTAACATTATTATTATATACACTGCCTAATAAATTTGCATTAAAATTTAATATTTATAGCAAAGGTAAATATGAAATTGCATTAGAATTTTTTTTCTTTTAAAAAATTATAATTTTACACTGTCCTCTGTAAAAGATTGTCTTGGTAGATAAAATTAAATAACTTAAATTTTATTAAATTAAATATAATAGTTTTATTTTTACTTTCAGTACACAGTTTTTTCTTTCAGTATTTACTAAGCATCACTAACTAATTATGTAAATATGAAGTGAAATGAAAATGAAAATGTTTTCAATGAAAACACCTTTTAATAACTGGGAAGAACTTCCCTGAGGAATATGCCATCAGTCTTGCCCTTCTAGCTGGTATGTCTGTATTTCATCCATTATTTCATTTTTCCACAGGAGAAGCATGTGAGTATGGTTCATATTGAATCACGAAAATCGAAAAGGAGGAGCTCAGAGGTGGAAATTTTTGTCGACTGCGACTGCAGTAAGAAAGAATTTAATGAACTAATCCAGTTGCTCAAGTTTCAAACTAATATTGTATCTCTCAATCCACCAGAAAACATCTGGACTGATGAAGAAGGCAAGGCTGCTTTTATATCACTTGGTTTAGACACTGACAAATGTTTTGCACCGGTATCTCCATAGTCTTACACTCCAGTACCTTCAACTGACATTGTGTCTTCTGCAGATCTCGAATGTGTCCCTTGGTTCCCCAGGAAGATATCTGAATTAGACAAATGCTCACAGAGAGTTTTGATGTATGGGTCTGAGCTGGATGCAGATCACCCTGTAAGTGTAACATAAAATTGTCTTGTAGTTAATTTGTTAAGGTTATTTGCTAGTCCATTAAAAAGCCTGTTGACTGCTGATTCTGAGTACTTTTTTGAGCATATTGTTTTCAGAAGGTGGGGATTTAGTTCTCTTCAGTAGTTTCAGTGAATTAATTTTTCTTTTCTGTAGTAGGACACCCAAAAAGGAGATCCTCCAGAAGACTTATTCACTCTTGAACAACTATGGCCCCTTTTGTACTGCTTTCATTGATACATCTTTTTTTGTAATTAACAAGATGATGGAAAGGTTTCAAACCCTGAAGAATTTAGATCAATGTGACCCCTGGTTCTGTCATAAGGAGCTCTTAGATAAGAGTTGATATTAACCTAGGTGTCAGAGAAGAAAGAATTATGAAGGAAGACTTCCTTGGGCACTCAGGAGATAATTACAAAATAAAACAAAGCAACATGTTCCTGTTTCTGCATGAATGCAACAGATGGGAAGGTGTCTCACACTGGTGACAGGAGACAAGCCTGTGTTTCACGCAAGTTGTACTGCAGTAGAGCCAAATGCTCAATGCAAAATGCCCCCCCCCCCCAAAAAAAATTTGTTATTGTTTTATTGCTTTTGGCTGACGTCCATAAATGCTTAACCTCTGAGTATTTAGATGGCAGATGATTGCAAGCATTTGCGGTACAACATTTTCACTTGGTATGAATCCAAGTTTCTACCTTTGGACCACTTGGCTGAAAGTCCCTTTGCAGCGGGTGACTCCAGTGAGCCGATGGGTGCCCCTTTTGACCTCTCTCTCTCTCTCTCTCTCTCTCTCTCTCTCTCTCTCTCACTTACTCACTCGCTGTCAGGCACTTCCTCTTCCCTCACGCTCGACCCTATTTTTCCCAAAGCAGAATCTCCCACATGACGTATGCCAGATGAATTTATTAGGTGGTACAGTGGTGATGAGCAGCTTGAGCTGGGTGCCTCCGGAGAGGGACCCCGAACAAAAGAATCTCTGGGCAGTTATCCCCTTGAGGTCTAAGTTCCCCTCACGAGATGGTTTGGTCCAATTGGAGTATTTGGGTCTGGGGTCTCCTTGTTCCTCATTGGACCTTTTCACTGTCTCCAGATGGGCCGTTCTTTTTCTTTTCTCAAGGAGGCAACTTCTGCTGGTGGATGTGGCTGTCTTATCTTTCTGATTCACACTGGTTTCGGGGCCTTCCCGCATGTCACTAAGAGTTCAGTGTAAGTTCATCAGTATCTAGGTGAAAGTTGACCGCTTGCGGCCTGATGCCATACAGTGGACTCCATCTGAACTAGGATCCTATAACAACAGGCTGGATTGAAATTATACTGTAGGAAACTTCCAGCTGAAAGGAAGTAGGTAACGAACTCAGGTATCTGACCTTAAGGCTGTCTTGTAATAGGATTAGATTAAACTCTAGCTGTAGGTGATAGTCTCCTTGTCACAGACATTTTTGTTGGTGTTGTCCAAGATGATGAAAAATGGCCCTGAAGAGTTTGTACGTGACTGCAGAAAGATGAGTTTGGTGTAAGGGATTTTCTAGTGGTGCGTCTGTGCTGTACCACGGTACTACAGCGCCTGTGCAGACTCCTACCTGGGGACTGCCTTGGCTGAGGAGAGGCAGCCAAGTACACCTGGTAGCCCTGGGTTTGGGGCTCCTTGTCAGTGCAGAAACGACACTTGGACCGCTGCCTTCTGTCCTTTCCGCTCCACCGCTCCTACAGCTGCTGTGCCGTGGCGGGGGCTTAGGCACAGACCCTTGTGCCTGCATATACAAGCAAACGGACATCATCATGATGTCCCCTGGCAGCCCCACTTCCCTGTCTCTGGTGTCACTGGCCCACGTTATCAGCCATGATAAGCATCATCACCTCGCTTGGTTTTCAGCCACCGCTACTGTGTGGGGACCCTTCCCACACTGCGGCCCGCAGTTGGGGAGCACATTCCTGGATCCTGGTTTCTGCCATGTACTTCTTGATGACAAACGAGGATTTACCTCGCACCTTCTCAGAACGGAAAAGTCTGTTGATTACCTGCAACGATTAACAGTAATTTGGTTCAGACAGGCTGTAGTGGCAGCTCATTCTAGCCTTGAGTCGATGACTGTGACAAGCCATTTGATACTGTTTTATGTTCTGAGCTAGTGCCTTCATTAAATACTTGAGTGCTCTGCTGAAAACCTGCCTTCAGTTTTACAGGCAATGAAAAAAGACATTTGCATTATATGAATATATATTTTACACTTGGGAGAACTCTTATAAACATAATTTACACACCATTTGTTAGCCTATGCAGCATGCTATGTATTAGAGGTGGGGGGGAAAAACTGTAAAATCTGTGACTGGGTTTTCAAGCCCACTTCTGGTGCCTGCCCTGTTCCTTAGCAGTGGTGGGTAGGTGCCAGAGGGCCAACGAGAATTACCCTATTACAGAATTCAGCAGCATAGCCCTAACCCACTCCATATTGGCTAACAGTTTCAGTCTCAGTTTCACTACACGTTGCAAGCTTTTAAATCCCTTGTGGTGTCTTGAATCACTTTTCAGCTCTTGAACGGTCTGCAGCTGAGTAATTCAGTGCTGCTCTCAAAAGATATTAAGTAGAGAAGGAGATGCCCCCAGATTACAGCAACTTTTTTGCTGGTCGAAAAGCTTTTCTGTGTAGGAGTGAAGGCTTGAAGGTTTCCTGCAGTCCTTTCACATTCTCCCTTACGCTGCCCCAGCAACACAGCTTTGGCTATGGGGCAGTAAAATGTCTTGTGAGTTTTCTGGAAGCTCATACAAATATTTAAAATCAAACAATGTTATCTTTTCATTCCCTTCAGTGACTTGCATTTGTGTATGTGAGCAGTAAGGGAAAAATGCATTTTACTTTTCAACTCTGGCTAGGGGGAACAATGCACTTTCTGGGCTACTAACTGGGGAACTTAGATAACTCTTTACCCTTTTTCATCTTCAAGAGGTTGGCAGTTCTGCCTTGAAAATAGATAACTTTTTGTAGTCCAAAACCTGAAGTGTCTACATCTTTTATAGGTATAGAAGAGATCTTGTTTTAGTTTTGAATAGCTCAAAAGGACTGTAACTGGCTGGTATGTATGTGTTTGTCCTGGTTTAGGGTGGGATAGAGTTAAATTTCTTCGTAACAGCTGTTTTAAATTTAGTATGAGAATAATGTTGATAACACACTTATGTTTTTATTTGTTGCTAAGGCTGGGGCTAAACCACAACAGTGTTATATAGCTCTGTTGCACTTAATATTGAAGAGTTATGAGCCTACTGTAGCCCATGATGTAAAGCCCTTTCTCTGTAACTCAAATTGGAGCAATATGCATATTTGCTGCTGGAGGCTGATGGTTCAGTCCCTAATGTGTTGGTTAAGATGGCAACTGCTGAAGTAGCATCTTCAAAATGAGTTGTGTATGAACGCTGGGTCCTTGATTCTTCTAGTGAAGAAAGATGTATTAAGGATAGGTAAATTATCCTGCTTTGTGCCTGCGTGTGGAAGTCCATTCAGATTAAGAAAAACCTGAGTGGGATGTAATGACAAGGAAAAAGTTTCCTTTTTTCAACATCGTCGATGAATGTACCTATGCACAAACCTGTCTTGAAAAAACTCTTGTAGGACTTTGGTGGGGAAAAATGTGAAGAAATCATTATCTTCTCTTGCAGTCCAGTAGATAGTGTGAATTAAAATACAATATAATTAGGTACTAAATACAGACTTCAATGATTTATTTTATAATTCTTACAGCTAATTTTCTATCCTTATTGTAAATTACTTTCTTCTTCCTTGCTTAAGGGATTTAAAGACAATGTCTATCGACAGAGAAGAAAGTACTTTGTGGATGTTGCCATGAGCTATAAATAGTAAGTACTGGTATAATTCTTTCCTGTGCTGCTGACTAGTTAGAATTCATGCTCTACTTGATTCTGTAAGGTGAAGTTTAACAGTAGACAAAGTCATCCTTTAAACTTTGACTAGTTTAGTGTAGGCTATAAATGACAAACCTGATGCTTGAAATCCCGTTACATTTTCGGTACAGATACAGGCAAGTAAAGCATTTGAAAGGTAAGAACTCTCTCTTCAGCGTTCTGTTCATAGCTGCTTAAACTTAAGAAACTCTTTTACAAATGCTTGTGTATCTTAATGACAAACTGATGCACTGCGGAATCACACATATCTAACATCCCTACATAGTTGGACAAGTTCACTAAAACCCAAAATTATTATTTTCTTTTCATGTATTTACTATAGTGGACACTGCAAAATGCCATTTATCAATTTTGCAAACACTTCCCAGAATTCAGTCAACTGATTTTTCTGTAGTTAGTGGTGCTGGTGCCTGTGCACAAATACATTGCATGTGTTTTCTCATTTTGATTTTTGTTTTCCATGTCAGGTCAGTATTTTCAATTTGCTACCATCCCTGGCAGTCAGAAAACTTTCTGTGCTACCTACAAATACCTACTGTGTTGCAATTTTCTTGTCACAGAAGCATTCAAGTAATTCTAATCATACTGTAGGTTTTATTTGCAACAGGCCTAAGCCCTCATTCTCAAGGGAAAGAACATACTAATTTCATGTTCTTTTCCATTTTACCACACCACTTCAGGTTTTTAATTTTTCTCCTTTCAGATTTCTACCTATGTTGTTGAAAGAATATAAAACACAACAAAACAACACAGACTGTGTGTGCTCCTAGAGCTCTTTAGGTAATCTTGGATAGTTCTGCATTTACCCATGATGGTAGCAATAGTGCCATGCATTTCACAGCTGCTAAATTGCACGAAATATTTTCCTCCTTTCTCCCTCTCAGCTTCCTAAGTGTTGGAAAGATTGTGCTGCTGTGTCACTAAGCAGTGGTTCGCCTTCTACTACAAAGGGGTTTTTTTTGCCCTGAAACCATGAGAAATGTCTTTTCGCAAAAATCACATAGAGTAATCCTGCATATTCCCAGAAAAACAGGTAAAGGAAAGGAAAAATCTTTTCCTTCTTTAGACTTTGAGGGCTCAAGAACCATTTATGCAGGCGCATTACAAAAGTCAAACAACCCAAACCAGAGGTTATTTGCGGGGCCAAATCTTGTACTTCAGCAAAACTGCTCAGAAGTACTCCTTCATTCCACTGATCTTTTCAAACCTTCAAAAGATTTCAAACTCTTCCTGTTGTTACCAACAGAGGGAAGACAAGGTGCTTCACATATTTTTAGCTAGGGACCACAAAACGGCTGGGAGGCCAGTGATTAGGGCAATTACCTAAGATGTGGCAAAATCTCATTCATACTCCTCAGGTCTCCTGCAGTGGTTTTCTTAACCTCAGGGATGTGCCATGTCTGCTGGGCTGTGCAGTCAGTCTCTCTCCAGGGATGTCTGTAGCAGCCCTGGGAGAGGTTTACCCTCAGCATCCTGCAGCTCAGCCTAAGCCACACTGAGGAAAGGCAAATCAGCTCAGGGACGACTCTGTGCTGCTACAGCTAAGCTGTACCCATGTTGGGGAGCTCAGAATTAATTTAGGTGCCTTGACACTACCTTGCTGTCTTATCACATCCTCTTCTGTGGTCTAATGTCTCTTTACTTATTTATACAAAAAGAATAGCTCTGTTGTAAACACTGTTTCCCTCAGGGAAAAATTCAGAGCATTGTCTTGAACCTCTCTGTCTTTCAGGTAAATGACCTTCACAATCATTTACTGAGGCTTGGTGCATTTCTACTTTTCATTTTCCAGTGTAAAAAAAACCCCAAATTTGTTTTCTTAAAAAAATAACAGAGAGATTTGGCTACAAGGAGCAGGCTGCAAGGAATTGGCTCTGTAAAAAAAATGTTGAGTTGAAAATCCCTGATCAGCATTTCCTTTATGAATTGCTACTCTTCTATGTGGTACATGATCTGCTTTGGTTGAATATAAAGAGGCTTCTTGTAAGCAGGGAGAGGGAGAAAAACACTAGAAGTGAACTTGCAGGAGCAGGTGTTTGCTGGTACTGGGTGTTAAAGGGAAACACATGTTCACAGCAGTTAAAATCAGCTGTATGAAATAAACGGATCAAAAAAAATTCCTCCCTCCTTCACTTAGCTTCTATCCTAAAGAAAGTGAAAATGTTAATCTTGCTAATTAGTCCTTTGAGACTGATCAGGGATTCTAATAGTGTTGAGAAAATTAAATCTGGAGGAAAAATACGAGGTTTAAGAGGGAATTCATAATATGAGTTGATAGGTCATGACCATGGCAAAATGGAAAGACCTTATTTTAATAAGATGAAATAAAAAATCAGGATAGGTTTGCTTGTAGAGTCATCTTTCTCAGCCACAAGAAAACTGGCTGTGCAGGCTGGCCATTGCCATTATTTATGGAAACGTACACTGTGGGCCTTGCTTGTTGGAATAAGAGGGTGAGGTAAATGGGATTGGCAGAGCTGAGTGAGAGCAGCATAGGTCCTCCCTCAAGTCTGGCTGCCTTGATCCTCTTGATAAAGAAAGCAATATCATGATCAGCTGGAAATAAGATCAGTTCTCCCAGGCATAAATCCTATTAAGGAATTAATGTTCAGTGAACCTTACTTCAGTACTAATGAATTAATTGGATGAATAACTAAGTTATAAACCTTTTAGTGAGCAGTGAACAGGCTTCAGATCCTTGATTGTGTTTATACTTCTCTAGTGACAGGCTAAATAGAAACCTGAGTTTTTCCACTGGTGCACACATTTCTTCCTCTTTGCTGGGCCGATGCTGACCCGTACTGACAGGATCCATAGTAGAGGTCAAGTCTAAGGAAGAGGGAGGAGGTTACTGCACAGTATTCTGGCAACCCCAGGTGGATGGAGTAGCAACCTGCTTGTATCTGTCATGTATGGTACAATTTAGAGTATCTGTATTACGCTTTCCGTGAGCCGGCAGGCAGCTTAAGGCTGATAAAGTGTAAAAGTGAAGACAGGTACTAGACCTGAAGGACTGACTCCCACTGCAGAATGTGCACGAACCCCGTGCAGCTTCTATTGATGAGAAATGCTTCACTAAATGTGTTGCAATTCTTGTCATGTCTGCAAAAGAGTGGCTGAAGGGGAACTAGCAGATGTATTGGATGTTCAGTGAGTCCTTAACAAGTACGAGTACCTCATACAAAGTGGCCTTTGACTGACAGATAACTGCCATGGATCAAAATACTTTGATATAGTGAAAGGCAAGGGGATTAAATAGTAAGTTTTCAGTGAAGATGAGGGGACAACCACAATGCACGTCGGGTGGATGCTCTTCTCTTGTGCACATAGGGACTGCGTAGCAGCAATCACATGCAACATGAGGGCTCATTCCTTGTTACCACGTATGATGGAGGCAGGATTATGAGCCCAGTGACAGTCGAGACGGAGAGCCAAGCCCCAGCAAAAACCCAGCGCTGCTGCAGTGAGATTCCCCGTGCCTGATACTCCTGTTCAGCTGCTGTCTGCGACGCTGGGAAACTGCAGCACAGGGCTGGGAGTGCCCATGTTGCCAGCCCTGTGGCAGGGGAGTGGGAGGTAGGGACTGATGGGGTAGAAGGGGATCCCGAGAATCCCTTTGCCAGTCTGTACTTGGTTACAGTGTGGGAAAAGAGGATACCTGAGGAGAAAGCAGATTGCACAGGTTACATATTGTAGATTGTGAACATTAAATCCAGAGAAAGATTATAAAGTTTCTAGTCAGAATTTGTAATGTGAGATGATGGCCCATGACCATGGCATGGGAAATTCCTTACAGCTAAATACAAGGCAGTGCAAATTAGAAGGAGCCCTTCGTACTCTTCACACTGTCAGTCAGTTTTGAATTAGCTTTAACCACTCAAGGCAAATCTTGGATGTCAGAGACAGATTAGCAGGTACCCTGGAAGGCTCCTGCATTGCAATTTCTGTGCATTTGTATAAGGGGAAGAAGGCAGAGGAACTCCTCCTACACAGAAGGATTAAAAAAACCCAAAGAGATTTATTTAGAAGCTTAGTTTCACCTATGCTAGGCCATTGGCTCTGAGGTGAGCTTCCTCATGATGTAGTCCTGCATGAATTTGGGGTTCCAAGCATATCTGCACATGTAAGCAACAATCTAATAAATATATATTTTTAAATTCGATCCACACATTTCTAAACATGGGTGTAGTTACCTAATCTTCACTTTGTAAAATGCTAGGTAATGATGCTGTGTGACTATTACGTATTTTAAAGAATGCATAGAGCATGCAGTCTGCTGATGGTCTTACTGAGTCTAGAAGTTAGACTGAATTAGGATCTTCAGCTAACCACTTGCAAAGGCCTCAGTGACAATAAACAGAGAAAAACAATAAACAGTATTACTCTAGTACAGGAACATGGCATATGAGAAATCCATCTTTCTGCTATGATATGTACAAAGACTAAGGAATAATTTTACTGCTTAATGAGAAATACAGTTCTTAAGAAATAATTGTAGTATGTACAACATAACATCAAGAAGAAATTCTAAGAAAAAAAGCATCTAGTTGTCATTTTAAAATGGTTTTTAATAGTTTTAATAGGCTCTGTCTGCCTTTATTTAAATAATACTTTTCATTGAATCTGGTTGTATTCAAATGTATTTTGTATTATTTTACTTTTTTACAGCGGTCAACCCATTCCCAGAGTGGAGTACACAGCTGAAGAAATTAAAACATGGGGGGTGGTATTTAGGGAACTCAGTAAACTCTATCCCACCCATGCTTGTCGTGAATATTTAAAAAACTTTCCTCTGCTGACCAAGTACTGTGGATACAGAGAGGATAATGTGCCTCAACTGGAAGATGTTTCTATTTTTCTTAAAGGTAAGGTTCATATTTGGTTTGTCAATAGATACAGTTTTATGCAAACACTCTTTTCTGTTAGTACAAAATACAAAGCATATTGAATGAAAAGACTCCCAGCTTTGTCAGTGGACTTTGGCTTAGTCTGAAGTATTCTGTTTTTGACATTCTCCATGGCAGAGAGTATGCTGAGTCAAGGCAGTTGTATATATGTATACCTGTAGGTATGAAGCTGAGAGGAATTAAACAGCTGAACACGTATCACATGATGTTATCTTGCACAGGGAGAAAATTCCTTTGGTACAATCAAAGGAAAGAGCAGAGTTGGCTCTGCTCTTCTCATTCCCACAGGGTGGGTGTGCTGATAACAGCAGTGGGTATCTCCCAGATATCCAGGCAGGTAAAAGAGGGAATAAAATGCCACAATAACTGAATTTGAAGAGGAGAGCAGGTTTGGCATGTTGTACAGCTTGATGAATATGAGGCTTTCCTGAGTGCCCAAGACCTCATGAAGCTAGTCATTGTATTTGTATGTTGAAAAAACTCAGTGGAACTCCATAGGTAATCTGGTACTTCTCTTTCATGTCATTTTTTAAAGGGTCAGGTTATTACATATCTAAGTTTGAAAATACCCTTTTTTTCCCATCTCTCGTGGAATTGTATCCCATATGGAATGAGAAGTGGCAGACGTGAACCTCCAGTTTTTAACCTAGAGGAAAAGCTGCCAAAGTGTTCAATTAAAATTTCTCTTCTCCTCAGGGGTCTCTTCAGATACATATACTTGTTCCTTAATCCTCTTGCTCAGGAGCTTCTGGAGCTCAGGAACAAAATATTATAAAAATTCAGCTATTTGGAAAAAAATGTTATGAGAAAAAATAGCAAAATGTTTTGTCCCAAATGTGCATGGAAAATTTTTAACTAAGAGAAATACAAAATTTGTAATGAAAGGCTTACTTTCCCCAGTCCCTGCTTCATCTGTAACTCTTGTTTGTGAAACACCTGCAGTTACTAGAAACTGACTCATCACTCTTTGAATTTGGTTGTGTCCTTCTGGGTCTCTCATTTGTTGTGTTACGGTCTCTAAGGCATGATGCCAAAGTGTACAGGTTCTTTCTCCCTAACTAGAAACTCAAAACATCACACTTTCAGAAATACATTTTCAGATTAAATATAACAACAGTAGTGTCTATTGAAGAAAAACCTGGAACATTTGCCTGTAAACACTTGGAAAGAGTAAAGAATGAATTTGGGAGAGAAAAGTCCTTTTCAAAGTCACTGAGTTTGAAATAATCCTCCACTGAGACTAGTCTTGACAAAGGAACACTTTCTTAAATAAATAAGGACCTCAACTGTGAAAGTCGATATTTTACTATCACAAACAGTGTTTTATCTGTAAAAATAAGGACAGATTTGATTTAATCCTGTTATATTCCATTAGTTTTTAGTGTATTTTACAGAAGTCATCTTCTGTTTTGGAAACTTCTCTCCTGTTTGGTACTAGACAGGAAAATCAGATACTTGGTGATCCGAGAACATCACTTATGGTACCTTACCATCTTTTCTAGACGAGGGTATTAAAACAAACCTTGAAACACCTCAAGCTGTTTTCATTAAACATATGCTAGCGACGCAAAATAGTTCTTGTACATAATAGGTGAAAATGATGTGTGGTGATCTTCAACCAAGATATTCTCTGTGTCATGCTTCTGGTAGAATAATTAACTACAGATCATTACCTGTCCTCAGAAATGGATATAGGGATATATAATATAGTCTTTCATTATCTCCTTCACTTTCAGAAAGGTCTGGCTTCACAGTGAGACCAGTTGCTGGATACCTATCTCCCCGAGATTTTTTAGCTGGCTTAGCATATAGAGTTTTTCACTGTACTCAGTACATACGACATGGCTCAGATCCTCTCTACACACCAGAACCGTAAGTTGCTACATTTGCTTTAGTGCTTAAAAAAATAAGATCACTGGTTTCTTAAAAGACCCAGTTGAATTTGTCAAGATTGAAAAGAAGAACCCTCCCACCATGTTAAAAATCTAGTTATGCCATTGATGAAAAAACCCTTCACTTTGGTGACCCAGAATTTAATTTAAAGGCTGCTTTTGGGCTTTTTACTTTTTAAAAATGACTAGGCTACTTATATGGTGGGTCAAAAAATTCTATCTATCTGGATTATTTTTCAGTAGAAAATGGAGTTTTCAACTAAACATTTTGAAAAGGTATAAAAAATTTTATTTTCTGGTGGACAACTAAGGAAAAAAGTTGGAAAAAAACCCCTGAATCCCTTGAAAAAAAATGCTTTCAGAATTATAATTTGGTCTTCTTGTGCCCTCATTTATATTTTTGGGCCAGACTCCACAGCTGAACTTCATTTCTCTCCTATAACACAATGCAAGCAAGTCATGAGGTACTGTTCTGTCATTCAGAGAGGGTATTAGATATGAAGCCTGTTACAGGGAACATGATAGAAATAAGAGACACTTTAATTATGACTTTCATAGGACAGCTTTTCCAAAACAGAATATTGCAAGCTTGGATGAAATATTTTGGCATTTGGTCTCTTGATGAGAAGTGGGAGAAAAAAAAGATCAAAGTGATTGTAGTTCTTGTCTTGTATTATATATCATGCTCTGTGCAGTAATAACAGAACAATACATGTCAGATAACATGGAGGTAGTTTCACCAAAGGCTTCCACTGATCTTATAACCACAGCAATGACATTTTTGCAGTGCATCAGTCATCAGATGGTTAGCATGAAATTGTAACTGTTATTTATTCAGCTTGCACTATTTTGGTGTATTTTATTTTTGCCAAAATTTACATGAAGTGTTCACATATATATATATATTCAGCTCCAGTCCTGTAAACACTTGGACCCATCCTTAAATTTGATTTCATTAATAGGCTGCTGAAACCATGGAATAATATTTTTGGATATAAAAGGATTAATCAAACTTCATATAGAGCTGTCCCTAAAAATGCTCAAACATTATTTTGGCAGAAGTCACCAGGTGGTGCTGTTATACACATATCTACTTTTTTCCTCAGCATGTGAACTGGGCAAAGTATTGGCTAAAATGCTATAAGGCTAAGTTTTGTGTGTGTGGTTTTTTGGGAAAAAGGTGGTAATCCGTGAAGGAATTCAGTCACTTCTGTAACCTCTGTAATTAGAACTTTAATCTCTTAAATTTGTAGGCAAATTGCTACAATGTAAAATCCTGAAAGAAGGGCTTGGATATATGACGCTGGACCTCTTCTGGTCTATCTGAAAATATCTGTAGATATTTCAAAAAAAGAAATTATACTTAGGAAGTACCAGGTTTTGCCCCAATGATTTCCTCCCCTGTGGGAAGCCAACGTCTCAGATTGCAGCGCCTGCCATTGCTCAGCAAAAGAATAATGACATTTATCAGCTTAATACAAACTAGAAGAGCATTTTCATCTGTTGATGGGGGATTTAGGTACGTAACTCCAACAGGAACAAAGGAAGGAATGTCTTCTAGGAAACAATTTAGTAAGTCTATGTTATATGCTGATGTTCTCTGGTTTGTTGATTTGTATATTTGAGATCCCCATAGTTTTCAGGATGCTGCTTACATTTGGAATTACGCTGTGTATCATAGCTGATCCTTAGTAGTAACAGCAACTACTTTCTGTAACCATTCTTGTCATGGTGTCTGCAAAGTCACTATGTAGTAATACTAGTTCAATTAGAATGAAGATCTTTATCTCTTATTCGGGCTGAACTTAAAAATCCACGTTATGGTTGTAAGAGCTCTACATATGACTAACAGAGGAATTAAGTTGTCATTTTCAAATGATGTTACTCTCTTCCTGCAGACCTACTTGTGCAGACACCACATAAATAATCTGTACTATCAGGAGCTGCATAGGAAATTTTTGAAAAGCCCTTTTAAAATGTGTTAAATTTTTTTCATAAGATAGAGCATATAGTAAGTGTTACCAGAAATGAACAGTGAAATCCTGATGTTTTTGTAATCAGCAGAAAAACTAAACTGACTTGAGTGGGGACAGCTCTTCATCTTCCGCAGTAGCTGCAATGCTCTGAGATCTGCTGGTTGATATATGGGGCCATAATGAGGTTTGCTGCGGGTCCCTGGCTTGGTGAATGTTGCATTTCAATGATATAAACCTGGTAAAAAGACTCCCTTTGACTTCAGTGGGCTTTCCATCAGATTTAACACCCAGGCTATAGAGCTAGATACAAATTAGAGAGTTCATTTGGGTTGATCTGTATCACTACTATATGCATTTTAAAACAGTTCTTCCTGAGTTTCATTATGTTTCTACTACGTTCACAGAGCTATATAGATTTCCTCTGCTCTGCTAACTAATTTACTCCAAGAAAAATCTTTTGCTGTGAAAAGCGCATTACGAAAATCTTATTTTCTCTGAGCAATGTGTGTGAATAAATTAAAGTAACTTAATTATTTTCTGAATAAAACAAAACAAAAGAATCAAGCCTTGGTAGTTAAGCGAAGAATTATACTGTTCAGGCTATCTATAAAGGGCCAGACTGGCAGGGAAGTCTAAGAGACTCCAATGACAATCCCAAATGTTGGTTCATGGTTCTGCTTGGAAGATTTGATTTTTTGGGTTTTTTTTCAAGCTCCTCTTTTTATAACTGCACATTCAAAGTACTACTTTGCATAGTTTTAATGGAAGAATCTACAAGCTAAAGGCATGAAGGAAATATCTTCTGCCTCCTCATCCTCCTCCTTTTGCCAGGAGAGACAAGTTGATGGGGCTAGGCTTTGTCTGTTCTCATTTTGTCTGCAAGGGTGGAAGTGACACAAAGAGCCTGTGTCCCAGTGCAGAACTGGAAACAATGCATCTTCACTTACTTGTTTCTGAGAGTTGTTACCTCAGCACAGGAAAATAGAGTTGTAGACACTCAGCTGCTAATAGTGGCGATGCTGCTGTAGAAGCCTGCCTGGAGACAAGTGTGCTTACCTGAAGCCAGGAACTTAAAGCCTGTTCCACTATATTGTCTTTGCTTTTGCTATTTGAACTACTGATATGAAGTTACATTAAATATATCTGGATTGATGCAGTGAAGCATAGGTGAAGTTCTCAGCAATCAGTTTTGATTTCTCTAGTGAAGATGGAACGTGGAGTTAGAGTTCTGGATTTCCAGAGAATGGGCTTTGTAGCCCATTTCTGTGTTGAAAGGTGACGGCTGGAGGAGTCAGGTTCCTCTAGTGAATTGTTTGGTACTGGGAATTTTCTGGGTATATCCACCAGACTGCAAACTCCATTTACCTACTGTCCTTTGTATCATTAGCAAGCTAAACCTTTCAGGAGATGACAGAGAAATTGTGACTGGAACTGAATAAATAAAGAAGGGTCATTCACCTTTGATGGTTATCTACTCAAGTGATTCAAACCACCTCCTGAACAAAGAGATGGATACCATGCAGAAGCCAGCCAATTTTTCAAGTCTGAGCTCCAGTGAGGAATGGAGTAGTATTAAGCTTCAGGTCTTGTGGTAGCCAACTTTGACCATCTTGCAAGACTCAGAGCATCACCAAAGGGACGTGGAGATCATAAAAAAAAAGCCTTCTTACTGGCCACTTTTGAAGAAATTGGGTATTTCCCAGGCTTTGAAAGGACATGCAATGATGTAGAAACAAGGCAGGAAAAATCGGACTTTCAGGGAGAAGGACAAGCTTTACCAGGCAGTGAAAAAAAAATGCAAACAATTTTCCTTACATAAGTATGATGTCTGATACTGTTCCTAGCCAGCTGTACATATCTTGACTAAAAATATTGGCACACAGTAAGCTTGACCACTCAGCCTATATTGCTACCACTGAATCTCTAGTCAATATCCATGGACCATGTTCATTTTATCATGTCAGGCAAAAGAGTATTTGTTTACGTCCCCTGCTTTTTTGGGAAATACGTATGTCTAGGAAGGAAGAGAAGTGAGATTGGGTGATTCCTCTGTACTGTTGAGTGAATTACTCATATATGAGCTTGGCTTAAACTTGTCATGCACAACTTCAAAGCAGTTCTTGTCTCACCAAAAACTGTGACTGTAGTAACATGAGCAAATGTTGGTAAGCGTCTGTCAGCGAGGCCATCTGGGCTGAGAAGAGAGACTTGTAGGTAACCCTCCAATACTGGAACTATACTTGATAAGCTTTTGGTGAGGCAAACTAGGAATGCCAAAAATGCTAAACTTCATTTGCATGCATTCAGGAACTACTATCTACCTAGACACAGTTGGCACAGACTTCTTGGTGAAGAGTACTGAGTAAGGAGACTTTAAATTATATAGAGGGTTGTTTTTCTGTTCATGATTTATCTGAAATGTCAGGTTCTGTGTCTTTTCAAACAAAAATAGTTTATAAAAGACAAATTGGATGATTTTGGATGGAAGGCAGAAAACTTGATGTTTTCTCCTTGCTTTTAAAACATTTGTTTACAGCTTAGGAAAAAAAAAAAGAGAGAGAAATGTCTTTGAAGAGACAAAAGCAAAGGAAATGTCAGATCCAATTTTTAAAGTGAACTTTACTACCAAGTCCATTATTTTACGTGAACAAATGCACCAAAACTTTCAGAATTGTTTGAGAGCTTTTGGAGGTGATACATGTGCACTTTCGTTAGGTTGGTTAGCACTTTTTGATACACTTATATCTGCACTTTGTTATGACTAATAATACTCTTACAGGTGTGGACAGTAGTTCTTTCTAAAATGATTTGCGTTCTCTGCTTTTTCTGAAATCTTCTTGGTGAAAAGTTGACCGTTAACAAAAGTACTCAGAAAATGCAGTAGGAAGTCAGGACTAAATGAGAAATTAAGCACACAGAGACCTTTGTAAATATTGCCCTGAATTTCTTGTGGCAAGTGGGAAAATGTTTGGTTGTGGAGCTGTACCTAGGTGCAGAAACGGGAATGGAGAAAAGGAAGAGGGAACATGTCGGATTTTGAACTTGACTAATGGGGAAAGAAATGCTGAAAACTGTACTTGTGAGACATCTGGCTTCCCTTTGGGCAGTTCAGTCTTCATTCTACTAAGCCTGGAACACAGCAGTGATCAGGCCCTCCCACTCAATCTGGAAATGATGGAGAAATCACAGAACAGGTGGGGTTAAATGACATGTAACCCATTTAATAGAAGCAAACCTGTGTGTTTCTACAGAACCATACACAGGGAAGAACAACTATTCTGTAAAAAACATGTTTCATGGTAAGACTTTTAAAGTAGAGGTCAGACTCATATAAAATGGCTTATGTTAAATTAATTATGGAATGATTATGGAATTAATTTCTGTAATGACTCTCTTTTAATTTCCATTCCCTTAGGGATACGTGTCATGAGCTCCTGGGACACGTGCCTCTACTTGCTGATCCCAAGTTTGCACAGTTTTCACAAGAGATAGGACTTGCTTCACTGGGAGCATCTGATGAAGATGTTCAGAAATTAGCCACTGTGAGTCAAAATCTTTTTGTGACATGCTCTCTCATCTGTCCTCCTCTTCAGTTGATGAAGTGATGTGCATTGTCTTATTAGAGCTGGCTGCATTTTCAGGTTGCAGATGACTATGATGTGACAATCACAGAGCTTTAGGTATTTTTCCACTGTTTTTAATAAGAGCAAAGCTGAACATACTGGTCTTCAGGTAGTCAGTTTTACTTTTTATGTGCAATAACCACCAATTTTCGGGGCTAGCTGAGATGGATTTTTGTCTACTTGAAGGTCCTGAAAACAGGTAAGCAAGGTAATTTTGAAAAAAAAAGAAAACCCCACACCAAAACACCAACATTTTGGTGTTTGCTTTTAGCTCTGTGCTGTTAGCTCCTCCACAGGTGGCCACTTTGGATCTTAGCACTGCTATTTCTGTACTCACTGTTCTGTCTTGCAGCTGCTCACTATATTGTAGTGTGTGATGGATTTTGAGATGATGTTGCATCCTTGCTAGTGCTCCTGTTGGAGAATATGTAGTTATTAAGCCAAGGCTGTGCAGCAGTAGATCTAGACCTAGGTCAAGTGCCTCAACCAGTGGCTGTGAAGATGGATTTTATGTTGCATCAAATGAGGCACAGGCCAGTAGGTAGTGTGAACTGGAAGAGGCTGCGTGTTAAAGGCGTTAGACGCTATTAAGGACTCATCTGGAGCCTTCCTGGCCCTTGTGTGAGGGACACTCAGGTTGCACTGAAGGGCCCTGTCAAGTTGCCAGGACTCTCAGCTCCTGCCCACCTTTCAGCTCTGCTGTATTGCCATTTCCAAATAACTTGTATGCAGCCCTTTGTATCATGACATAGGATGGTGACCCCTGTCCTATACCACTTGCTCTGTTCTATTGTTTTAACTTACTGTATGCTTCCTTTTGTGGTTCTTGTTAAAACTAATGCTGCAAATAATTAACTATATTGTATTAAAAAACAACTCCATATTTAAATATTTTATCTATCTCATGAAAAAATCTGTGACAATCAGCAAAAGAATTGGTTACTTTAAATCTTGTCCAGCATACTACTGCTTTTCTACATGAGAAGTGCAGTGGGGATTTAAAGCGTTGGAAATAATTTGGACATAGTGTTGAAGGCGGATTCAAACCAGATTCAGTTACACCGTAATAGTTTTGATGCACTGGCTCAGAGTCCCACCTGCTGAAAAAGGAGGTTGTAGCCATTTGTTAGCTTTTTCTCCTATAGCCCTCCAGAAGTGACCACCAAATCTATTTAATCAAATGGGCCTCACTCCTTAGTTAGACAGGCTCGATATCTTCTTATGGCCAATTCCTCTCACATGCTGTAGGGTGTGTTCCGTGGTTTTCTAATGGATATTTGCTGAGAAGAAACTGTTGTTTGTATGGAAGAATCATGGAAGTTGTGTGTCTGTTTGCACATTTGCAAGGAAAGGATTTAGTAGGAAGCAGACCTACCTTGTCACAACCTGAAGCCTCAAGAGAAACTACCTAACTGGCTGTCCCTATAGGTACTCTGAGGAAAATAGTATGTCCAAGTCTTTCACCCCAAAATAACCCTGGGTGTCATGGCCTTGTTGTAGACGTCAATGTTGGGACTGATCTGTTTGGGGAGAGATATTAATATAAAGTGACCTCTGAATATTACATAAACATTTTTACTCCTCCCTCTCACACAAGTTCCCAGTTATGACTGGTTATGTCATCCAAACAATGAGCTGCTCCTGATTCACAAAGCCAAAAATAAAAGAAGGCAGCTGAATCACTTTCCCTTATCACACTGAGAAGTTGATATCTGAGTCAAAGTTGATTTCTCCTCCCATGCTGGAAATAGCTCTTTCAGGTGGAAGAGACATTTACAGAGAGACTTAAGGTAACCCAGGTGGTGTTATTTTTTGTAGAAGCACAATGGGGGGGCTGTACTCCCCTGGGGCAGGTGCTTGACAAATACAGAGATGTTACTTGCCCTAAAATTAGCAATGTAAAGAGTCAACTTGAGAGCAAGTACAAAGAACATCTCCCAGCAGTGAGAGCGAGTAGGCCAAGAAATTAATTCAGCTAAGCACCAAATGTCACCTGAGGTGCTATTAACTGACTTTTGCAACATTCGGTCCCATTTCCATCCTAGATAACAACCAGAGAGGCAGCAAGCTGGCAAATGCCAGCCAAGAGTCTTAACACAGAAAAGCAGTGCAGGTTCCAGTGAGGCAACTTCGAAGTAAATAGAGAAACAAATGACCGGAGAGAGAACATGCATATTAATGAGCTTGAAGCAATATGCCCAAAGCAAGCTTGCCATTAGCATGACCTATTTCAAAAGATAGTGACATTAACAGCTGAGCCATTACAGGGAGGACAATGGCTTTAGGAAGAGAGGGAAAACACCTCTTAGGAATTCAGACAGAAAGAGAAGAATTATTACAGGTGATTCCGTCATCTTTCGCTCCATTCTGCTTTCAAAAGCCACCACGTATCAGCCTTGATAGATCTACTCCTTGTGCCCCGTCAGTCCTGAACTGCAAAGGAAACATGCGGATGTTTTTGTCCCTGCAGAGCTGACACAGTGGATGTAGAGCAAGCTGCAGCCTGGTCCCTGGGCAGACTAGAATTGTTTGCTAAATTGCAATTAGTCACATCTGTACAGCCCCACTGAGGGCAGGGATTAAATGGGAGAGCATTGCAGAGGCCCTGGTGCTGGCCGGCTGGAAGGGGAAGGACGGCTGCAGGGTAAGAGGGTTGAAAAGGAAAGGTGTGAGCACCCCTCATCCTCTTGTTTGATTCTGGTAGTCAGATTGGGGTAAGGAGAAAGGAATGGCTTCTACTCCTTTTTAAAAGTAAGCATTCTTCCCATGGGAAGTAGAATATTGAAAGAGCCAAGCAACCATCTTTGCAGTGTTTTTTTGAGAGATACAGTTTTCTTTACAGTGTTTTAAGAAAGTAGGAAAGAGGGAAGACACAAAAAACAAGTGACTCAGAGATACATTACTGAAACAAAAAAAATATTTGCACAATCCACTTTTTGCTTGTAGCACACTATGTATCACTATATAATGTGGTTCCTTGTTGGGGAAATACAATATTGGTGATGCATGTCTGCGTGCTAATTATTATCATCATCATCATCACTAACGTCTTGTGCTACCCTGTGTGACTTTCTAAAAATGCTTTTGAGTTGATTTTTCAAGCATGCCTGGTCTTTCTAATTTCACATAGTACAAAAATAAACAAAGACTCTCTTTTCTGCCTACCTATCAAACCATAAGCTGTAGAGAGGACTTGACATGAGATGTTTCAATTAATTTATACAATATATCATTTACAACACATTTAACAGCACATAACATAAGGTTTTGCCAGGAAAATTGTACAAAAAATATACCTCGGTTTACCTTTATTACCTTGTCATTTGTGGACTTGGGAGCCAGAGTGCAGCTGTCTTTGTAAAACTGTAAGTTGATAAGCAGGATCCTGTCTCTCTTGCTAATGACAGAAATGACTCCCAGCTCCTGCAGAGTTGTTTCAGTGCAACTCATGTTACCCCTTCGTGATGCAGTATGTATAGGATGTATTTGTGTATATGAAATTCGGAGGGGGGCACATTAACTGGTGGTGGCTCAGAAAAGAGGAGGTTAGCAGAGTGTTTGTGGCTTGTGGTCACCTTTTAATCTTTCTTGATTTTTCTTCTGGTATTTTAACAGTGTTGGACAGTAATAATAAAAAAATTTCTCTTGTTTTTTCTAGCCCTTATTAAGCAGAAAACCACAATAGTGAGTTGCTTATGAATTTGAAGGAATTATGTGTGATGAGATCTTGTAAATGCATTTCAGGCTTGTTATGAATCTAAATGTTTTACCTTGCCTGGATGATGACTGAGGCCAATCGTTTATTCCTAAAGCTGACTTTGATATATCTTGTATATGTATCACAAACAAAATATTTTAGATATATACGCTAGGATAAAAACAACGTTCAGAATCGCTTCTCTGGGAGAAGTCAGTGGTAATTCATGTGAGCTTACTTGCCTGTCTTTTCTTGGGATCTATGTTATCTGGTCTTGTTGCCTTCATTGTAGTTCTTCTCCGACGCTGAAAAACCGGCACATAATTCAGGACAATTACACATTATGTTTTCTGAGGAGATAACCAGAATGGAAGAAACAGGAGTGTTGCAGATAAAGACTGAGTTGCATTTGGTAACTTCGGGTAGACACAGTGTTTGCAGTCTCACTAGACAGAGCAGACTGTTGCAGTCTCTCATCTTCACAAACAACAGATTAGATTTCCCAGAGGGGCTATTGATAGTGGTAGTGGTAGGCCATAAGTACAGCTTGTGAACTGGATTACTGTCTTCCTCCATGAATGAACAAATGGAGCTGAGAAGAAAATTATGAAAATATTTGAGATTTTGAACATTCCCACTGTGCATCTGAAAAATCAAGACTGCTTGAATGTTTCTCATTTGTATTTGAAAAACGATAGACAGTGAACTAAGCGCTGTGGTAAGTCTGTGATCAGCTCCCCTGCTGAGGCTATTGTGCCATCTGAAAATAATTATGTATTGGCCAACTGAAACCTGGGATTACAACTCAAGAGCTATGGCATTCACTGAGCATATTGAAGTTTAACATTCAAATCTCTGCTTGGCCTTTTTCCTATATTCTGGTTGCATGCCATGATTGTGTGATGAATACCAAGAGTGAGCATGGTGAGTACCCTAAGTCCAGTGGTCACATAATGGAGTTTCTTGCAAAGGAGTTGCTTCTAGCTACCCCTGTAGTGAGTGAATAAAGGAGCTGTAGCATGAAGAGCTGGGAGTAAATATGATTTATAAACTGCTTGAGTAAATTTTGATGGACTTACGGGAGACATATGAAATGACTCTGATTTGGGATGTGTCACTTAAGGAAGATGAACCAATTCCCAGGGTGAAAGCTGAAATCAGGTATGATGGACTGCTATAGCCAGGCATTGTCCTGCCACACAGCATGAGACTGGAAATACTG